GGTTTTGTCCACACTGCCTCTCATGTAACCCTCGTGAACTAGGAAGCTCGTCAGTCGTTCGTACCAGGCTCTGGGTGCCTGCTTCAGTCCATACAATGCTTTCTTGAGCTTGTACACATGAGTTGGATTGCCTGCATCTTCGAACCCTTTCGGCTGCTCCACATACACCTCCTCCTGAATCAGACCATTCAGAAAAGCACTCTTGACATCCATCTGATATACCCTGAAGTTAAGTATGCATGCCATTCCCAGAAAGAGTCTGATTGACTCAAGCGTGCCACAGGTGCAAATATCTCTTCAAAATCCACCCCTTCTACTTGAGAGTACCCCTGAGCCACTAGACGAGCTTTGTTTCGAACCACTGCTCCATTCTCATCAATTTTATTCTTGAAAATCCACTTGGTTCCCACAATGTTGCAATCCATCGGTCGTGGACTCGTGGCACTAGTTCCCACATGTCATTTCGAACAAACTGCTCGAGTTCTTGTTCCATGGCAACAATCCAGAACTCATCCTGCAACGCTTGTCTGTGATCTTTCGGTTCAATCACTGACACAAAGCAGGAATAGAACACCATCTCAGAGAACTTCTCAACCATTTTCTTGAAATCCAGTTGAATGCCACGAGTCTTCCTCCCTTCATTCACCTCACCAATGATATCTGAGGCTGAATGATTCCGATGAACTTGCTTTGTGTTCTCCTGAGTCATGATCTGAGGCTCTTCGGTTGACACAGATGGCTGTTGCATCGCCTCTGCTGTCTGTGTTACCCAATCACCTTCGTCACCTTCAGAATCACTCCCGATCAGAGGCTTCTCCCATTCCATCTGAGCGTAGTCATCGAACACCACATTTACTGACTCAACCAGAACCTTTGTCCTCATGTTGAACACACGAAAGGCTGAGCTATGACCTGAGTAGCCCAGAAAAATTCCTTCATCACTCCTTGAATCAAACTTCCCAAGATGATCCTTGTCATTCAAGATGTAGCACCTGCATCCAAAGACATGAAAGTAACTTACGTTAGGCGTCTTTCCTTTCCACAGTTCATAAGGAGTTTTCGATGTTCCCTTTTGCATGTACACCCGATTGATTATGTAACATACTGTGCTGACTGCTTCTGCCCAAAAACATTTTGGAACTTGATTCCCATAAATCATCGCACGAGCCATCTCCTGAAGTGCTCAATTCTTCCGTTCCACTACATCGTTTTGTTGTGGAGTTCTGGGTGCAGCAAACTGATGTGCTATTCCATGACTTTCACAGAACAACTTCATGAACTCGTTCTGAAACTCTCCCCCATGATCACTCCTGACTCGTTTGATTGAACTTCGTTCATTCATGAATTGTAAAGCCCAGATTCTGAAGCTATCCGCCGTGTCAGACTTTTCTCGGAGAAACCTAACCCATGTGAATCTGGTGAAGTCGTCAACCAGCACAAACACATACTTTTTACCTCCCAAACTCTCTGTCTGAACTGGCCCCATCAGATCCATGTGAACTAGATCAAGTGGTGCTTTGGATTGTACGTCAGGTACTCGTTTGTGTTGGACTTTCACCTGTTTGCCTTGGTTACATGCTCCACACACAAACTTATCTCCTCCCTTGATCTTTGGAACTCCTCTAATGCTCTCCTTTGAGATGAGATCATTGAGATTCCTGATGTTCATGTGTCCGAGTCGCTGGTGCCACAGCTGCAGATTATCACAGGCAGTAAAACAGCTCATAACCGACCCTGACTTGTTCCACATGTAGCAATTGTTGCCTGATCTTTCTCCAGCTAGGATAATTTGTCCATCATCATTCTCTGCTTTGCATCATTTGTTGGTGAATATCACAATTAGCCCTTCATCACACAGTTGACTTATGCTAATAAGATTCGTCTTAAGTCCCTGTACTAAGTATACATTGACTAGATCAGGCTGATCTTCGTCTTTTGTAATGCCTTTTCCTTGTATGGCACCGACACTTCCATCACCAAACGTGACTCTTCCTCCCTTAATCTTCTTAACATTTCGGAGGTAGCTTCGGTTTCCAGTCATGTGCCGTGAGCAGCCACTATCGAAGTACCAAGGCTCTGACTCGTCTTCATCGCTCTCAACTTGGGCCATGTTGCACTTGAATCCATGCCACAGCATTGACATTGGATCATCCCTGAAAGATCTCTTAACAGTGAATTCTTTTGGCTTGAAAGAATTCTTCTTCTGTTGTCCCTTAGGTTCGAATCGCAAATCCTCTTTCCTGAGCCAGACTTGATTCGTGGGTCCATTCCAACTGAACTTCCGTTGCTTCATCAGTTTCTGAACCCTGTTCCATCTGCTGTAACAGTATGCCTTGATATGTCCGATCTTGCCACAGTAATAGCACTCTCGTCCTTTTCGCAGTTTGGTGACAGGTCTTTGATCTTCAGGCCGGTTGTATCCTGATGAAACAAACTTGATTTCATCTGAGCTCTTCTGTTCCCTTCCACTGTACCCCAATCCATGCTTCGTATTGGCTTGACATCCGTAGCTCAGGATCTTGTCCAGTTGCTTGGTTCCTGCGAACATCTGAATCTGCTTCTTTAGCTGATCTAGTTTAGACTCCATCTTCTCCGATATCTGGTTTTCAACCTTTAAATGCTGCCTCAGACCTTCAGCTTTGTTGGCTAACTCCAGCTTCTCCTTGATCAGATTGACACTTCCCTGGCCAAGTGCGTTTGCTGCTTCGAGATCTTTGCTGAGCTTGTCGACTAGTACAGACAGTCTCTGGTTTTCTTTCTTCAATTCACTGTTTTCTTGGTTGAGACTAACCAGGACATGACGTACTTCCTTGTAGCTGCTCATGAGATCATCCTCCTTTTCTTCTTTAGGCTCTGACTCTGACTCCTGTCCCTCCTCAATTTCAGCGATCCCGATAAACGTCACGAAGTTGTTTGTCTCTTCGACTGAGTCATCCTCTGAATCATCATCCGATTCTTCCTCAGCCAACATGGACTTGTCCTTCCTGCGATTTTGATCATTGACACATTCCAGCTGAGTGTGTCCAAATCCTTTGCAGCCATAGCACTGAATCTCCTGTCGCTTGATAGTCGGGCAGTCATTCTTGAATGTCCATATCCCTTGCACTCATGACACTGCACCTCACTCTTTCTGTTAGACTTGTCCACTTCAGTTGTCTTCTTGAAGGAGGCAACCTTCTTCTGAGGTTTCCCAGTTTTCCGCAAAGCACGATCAAACCTCCGAACCAGAAGACTTATGGGATCGTCTTCCTCATCTTCAGTGATACGGTTTTCACACTTTAGAGCTAGACTTTTAGGCTTCTTCTGACTGTCTAGCTCCATCTCATGAGCTTTCAGCATGCCTACAAGTTCACTGAATGGCATGTTCTCTGTGTTACTGGACACACTGAGTGCTGATTTGTACCCCATAAACCTCGATGGCAGACACCTCAAGAATTTCTTCACCAGCTTCTTATCCTTGTATTTTTTGCCTAACACCGCTGCTTCTTGTGCTAGAGCACTCAGTTTCGAACTGAATTCAGAGATGGTTTCATCCTCCTCCATCTTTAGATTCTCAAAGCGAGAAGCAAGCATGTCCTTTCTGGAGTTTTGAACCTTTGTTGTTCCTTCGTACTGCATCTGAAGTATGTCCCATGCTTCTTTGGCAGTCTCAACACCTTGAATCAGCTCAAATGTCTTTCTTGATATGTTGGTGTGAATAGTAGTCAGCGCCCTTGAATTGTACTTCGCTCTTTTTGACTCCTCTTCAGTCCAACTTTCTTCTGGTTTTGGATGAAAGACTCCGTTGGCATCAGCTACCAGTGGTTCTTCCCATTTATCTGTTACTGCCTTCCATGCCAGTGGATCGATCCCTTTGATCATGGATCTGATCCTAGCTTTCCAAAACCCGTAGTTCCCATCATCCAGGATGATCCTGGAGTTGTTCACCATTTCCTTATAGCTCTCCATTTTCTCTGCAGGATCTCACCTGTTTGTAATACACACAGATGACAGCTCTGATACCAAATGAAAATGTAAGAGTAGTAATACGGGAACTAACACAGAACACAACACAGAGATTTTCTCTTCAAAGATATTTCAGTAGTAAATCTGTTTGTAACTTACAAGTATACAGAACCCGATTTAGAGCAACCTCAAGACACACCTTGATTTGCTACACTAGTCTCACTTGTTCTTGAATCGATACGTGATTCAAGAACCTCTCACCCAAATCCCTTAGCACACTAGCTCACAAAAACTCTCACAGATTTTCGCTCACCCTTTGCTAAGTATTCTCTCAGTTGTGTTAAAAACCCTACACGGTTTTTCATACGCCTATTTATACATAATAGGACTTGCGGCTACTCCTCGCCTAGATCCTCCTTGTGATTTCTTCAAATCTTCATGAGAATCTTCACCTTCCTTATCTTCTCCCAAGATAGAGGAAACTTGATATTTTCTTCAAATATCCTCCAAGATACTCCAAGCTTCCTATCCACGTCAGCTTCTCGTCTCTTGAAGTGTCCAGCACGTCCTGCAGCTCCAGCTCAGCTTCCAGCTCACCTCCACGTGTGTAGATTGCTTTGCAAGTCTTCCTGTGTCAGTTCCAGAGCTAGTCGGACTGCTACACGTGCTGCTCCAGTCTTGTTTGCATCTTCAATAACCCTTCACGGAGATAACGCATTCGGCTTGGAAGACGTAAGATAACCAACCGAACACAGAATGATTGATCTCCATTAATGGAGAACATAACCACTCAAAAACCGATACAATAGCAGAGCGGTTTATGAGAAAAAAACATGGATTCTATGGACTGAATCTTCCTTGAATCCAATCTTAAACAAGAAAAAAGCCATATGATTATAGCCCAACGAAGAATGAGAAAATCGATACCATCATTTTGAGATGATCTGATTGGTCAAAACTCTCTTTTCTCCTCTTCTGAGATGCAACGAACATGAATCGCAGACATTAGCAAGAGAAATTCATTGGTTATTAAACCAACAATTTAGAATTACTGTGAGATTTGTCAACTCTCCTCCTTCTTCAAATCGCTCTCTCGATCGCATGAGAGAGGAGAGAGCAAAGGCGGTTGCTAAAATACTCTCTTATTTGAAAAGTTATTCTAATAATTAATTTTTAATATTTTTGTAAATTTAATAAAGTAATAAAAAAATATAAAAAACAAACTCTCTGTAATTACAGATCCAATCACGATTTGGGTAAAGTTGAGAGATTCGATGTAATCAGGTCAAATCTAACAATTTGTCCCAATTATTATTTTGTTCCACGCTATGCTTGGATAGTTTTTTAAATACTTTTATATTGATAAAATCATATATAAATAATTATATTTATTTAGATTTTAATTTGTTGTAATAAATTCTATCAAAAATCATTCAGTTCTAATCTCAAAATTTTTATAGATTTTGAAGTTTTACAATCTTTTTTTGAATTTATAAATGTGTCATTTTAAAAAACATATTATTTTGTCGAACTATTAACACTTTGTATACCAAAACCAACCTAAAATATAACAAACAAATTAAATAGTAATTAATTAGTATTAACACGAAAATAAAGTATTATACATCACTCATAGTCAAGAAAATAATTTTTTTTTATCAGTTGCATCCTTGTATGTTTTTTTATAAAAAATGATAAAAGTAAAAATTATTCTCTTTCCTATGCTAGTTTAGTCGATACAAATTTCTGATTTATTCTGAATTAAAAAACAAACTAATAAACACAATTTTTGCTTTCATATATTTTAAACAGTAAATAGATATAAAATAAAATTTAAAACTAATTTTAAATCACAAATATTGATGAATTCAATATAATTTGTTGTCAATCTTATTTTAAATTGGTAAATACCAAGCTTTTGTCGAATAACATATTGTATGTGATAAATTCTAAATGGATTTTTATTGACAACCAATAAAGACAAATTTTTTTCTCCAAATTTAACTGTTTTAATAAGTACAAATTATACTTGATAGGATTAATTACCCCTCAATAAACTATTAAATTAATTTTAGTATATATTAAAATAGATTCAACAAACTTATTATCACCCTTAAATTCTGTTTAGACCACTAATTATCTCCATATATATATATTAATATATGTGTTGTTTTTTATGTTGTAGTAAATATTATTTTAAACTTTTTTATAATTTTGACTCGTATAAATATTTTCAAATTCTTGTAATGCTTTTAAAATAATCAATCAGTTACTAAAAAGATAACTAAAAACTATAACAAAATAATCAATTACTATTTAATAAAAATAATATTGATACGAAAATAATTAATATATATTTCTTCTCTAATGAAAGAAAGTAAACAATTTTCATCATCTTCAATTTCATTCTATTTATCAATATTAAAAGAAACTGAAAAACAATGTTAAAATTTAGTTTTCTTCCTTAATCGATTGCATATTATTTTATATCTAAGTAATGTTGGATCGGTTTTCACCCCCGCGAGCTTAACTGCTTAAAAGAGCCTAAGTGACAAAATCGGGCCTTGGAGAGCCCAATTCCACGATTTATCGAAAAAAGAACCGAACCGGAGCGTAGTCAACGCAACAAACAGAGCCGAACCGAGTGCCATCCCGAACCAAGCCGAACCAAGTATTGGTTTGGCCAAATCAAGCTAAATCAAAGGAATTTTTGGTTCGACCAAGCTGAACAAGGGAAGGCGAAAGACCGAACCATACCGATCCGGTTTGGACTATTTCCTGTGTACCTGAGCCAAAAAACAATCTCGTAAACGAAGTGCATTGAGATGGAGAACGAAGAGATTGGGCCGAGCCGAAGGGTAGAAAGCACTAATGGGCCGAACGGGATGATTGTGAAGGCCCGATGAACGAGTCCAGGAAGACTTTACCCTAGGGGAGATAGAAGTCGTCAGCCGCATAAAAGAAAAGGAAAATTTCATAGAATCTCGGGAGAGAATCTCGGCTAGGTGATTTGTAGACTCAGTATAAATAGTCGATGTAATCCTTTCATTATGTAACTTTTACACAATCCCAGAAATCCTAAGCAATAAAACTACTTTTTGATCTTAGTTCTTGAGATTTTCACTTAGAAGCTTTGGATCCCTCTTTTTCCTTAACAAATTTTGATTGTGCGAGTTTTGACTCACACAATTTGGCGCTGTCTGTGGGGACATAAAAGCTTTCTTACACCGAAAACTTTCTTGAACGAGATCCAAAAGGATGTCCGGAGACGAACGGAGAGACGACCAGAACAATGGCAGAGATCCTACCCGAAGCAAGGAGAATCCTCCAACAGATGCAGGCATGACAGCCGAACCCTTGGACAAGGTGAAGAAGATGCTCGCGGCAATGATGGAAAAGTTTAACAAGCAGGAAAGGTAGAACAGCTCTTTCGCGGAGAGACTCGAAGCACTGAAAATGGAGAACCGAGTCAGGAACCGATGCCTCGGAGTGACGGGAACTTCCGGAGATGTTCTGCGAAGGTTCGGTTTGCGACCAACCACTCTCGAGTTCGCGACTCCCGCAAACAGGCTCGGAAGGACACAACAAAATTCGTCCGGCTTGGTGACACCCACGGCGAAGAAGTCCATGCCGACCGAACCACCTCTGCTAGCTCGGAGAAAAAGAGTGAACGGCGACAAGCACGACCAGCAGAATGATGGTGATGCCGCAGGAAATATCGGTAAGGAGACGATCACTGTCGATGATGAAGACGAACAGGAAGAGGAGCTCGCCCTTCAGCCAAGCCGCACTTCAAGGCGTATTACCCGAGCCGAACTCGAAGCGGCAAACAAGGACTAACGAAGAGGATGACGCTTTGCTCCGAAATCAAAACCTGACAGAGAAGGAGGAAAATCTGCTCTGGGTCGAGCAGATGAAACATGATAGACTGGCACGAAAAGGAAATCAACGTGGCAATGCACGCCAAGCTGCTCTAAACGGTGGCAGTACCGAAGACGAAGTCGACGAGTCGCAAAAGAACAACCAGATGAAGGAGGTGAACGAGCTCTGAGCTACTATAGCTCAGACAGCCGCCGAGATGAAGGCAGTTCGATCCCAAGTTCATCATGCAATCAGTTCGGCACCGGAGATAGATCGTATGTTGGAAGAAACGCAGCGAACGCCGTTTACAGCGCGAATCACCGAAGCTAGGATTCCTTTCTACGAAGGGACAATCGAACCGAAGGCGCACAGCTTTTTGGATCGGAATGGGACGAGCCTTCTCGAGAAATGCCTCCAATCTCAGCGAAGACGAAAGAGAAGTCGGTTTCTGCCTCCTCTTTGTCAAACACTTGAAGGGCTTAGGCTCGAGCGTAATTCCATTAATAATTTTCAGCTGCTGTCCGCTGTTTTCCTGAAACAGTATTCCATGTTCATGGACCAAGGAACCTCTGATGCCGATCTATGGACTTTGTCTCAAGGACCAAACGAGCCATTGAGAGCTTACATGGCTCGGTTTAAAGCGGTGGTATCAGAGGTGGAAGGAGTGAGTGACAAGGCAGCTCTCGAAGCCCTGAAAAGATCACTGTGTTATAAGTCCGAGTTCTGGAGGGAAATGGTGTAGAACACGCCGCTCACGATCCAAGATGCCCTACATCGCTCTGCCGACTTCGTCGTGAATGAAGAAGAGATGAAGAACCTAGACGAGCAGTACGAGTCAACTAAAGCGGCAATCCGAAATTTTCTGACGACACATCAAAGGAATGTGAGAAGCAATAACTATGTGCATCACGAAGGGCCTAGGCTACAAGGAGCCCACAATTATCAAGTGGGAGCAGGACGAGGCAAAGGACCATGGAACACTTGGACTCGGAACCCTCGGACTTATGACGAAAAAGCATTCTGAGAACACCACCAGTGCTATGGACACTCAACAGCAAATTGTCGGTTCTTGGCCACCACACTCGCCGCAAAGCGAACAGCAGAAGAACCCAAAGAAACCGCAGCTTCCAAGGAACCAAAAA